ATATTCTCCTGGAATTTAATATTCTCCTAGTCTTTTAAACTAGAGGTACTGGAAAAATAACAATTCACTTTTGCACTAATGTTGCAAATAACAATGCATAAATATTGCAAGGTTCCAAATTTTATATTTGTCACGATAGAGAACAGAGTCAACAGAACTTTTTTTCTTCTTCACAGAATAATAAAAACTCACTAGACTAAACAAGTCTGTAGTGAGTGAGAGACGGAAGATCAACTCACTACTTTTGCTAGTTTTTGTGTATGTACATGAACAGGGCTCATGGCAGTATCACAGGTGAGTGCTCAGGGCCCTAGGATTTATATTTCTTTTCTCTTGTCCAATGAATAGCTATTACTTTGTGCAGTATAGCTAGATCGGCAGGGACGGAAGAAAGTGAAAGAGCAGACCTACGGAAGTAATTCTTTTCCATACTTAGCAGAGCAAAATCTTTAATTTTTGTCAACAAAACAGTTGACTTGGTAGAATGCTCTGGTTTTGGATGAAACATGAGAAGATCAAAAGAGATGATAGAACAAACAGGAATGGGGGCACACTGCTAGAATGAGACACTTTGAGACAAAAGGGAAGGAAACAGAGATGACAAGCCATATCAGGAAGGTAAAGGGTAAAGTAGCATTAACATATAGCTTGACCTGTGCTTTACTTTGATGTTCTAAAACAAAAGTATTAATAAACATTTTCCAGTCACATTTTCCAATATTTCTTGAGTACAAGTTTAGGAATTTTATTTTGTTGGTATTAGTTGACTTCTGGATTCCAGAATCTCTGTCTTTATATAAAAAAATATGTGATTCACAGTAAAACTACAAGAACTCACTCTCTTGGCAGGCTTCATACCATATTATTCCAATAGCTAGTGACTTTTTCTGATTTTCTCCAAACCACAGAAGGACTAAGGTCCTGACTCTGGAAGATACTTACCTGCCTAAGACACAATTTGGTAGCTGTCATGCATTTTTCTTTTTAAGAAAATAAAAATAAATATTTAACATCTGTGTGTTCCTACAGCCCACCACAGACACAGCAGTTGAAATGCTTTAGAAAACTGACCACGAGTGATTTATACTTGGAGTCACACAGAGATCAGAGCAGCAGCAGGCTGTAGGCCCTGAAGTTCATCCCTTTAGCCCTGAAGGCTCAAAAATAACAAGGCAGCTCAGAATGGAGTGTTTAAAATTGCCTTTAGAGACAGCTTTTGTTGGTTGTTGCAGTAAACTGCGATATTTATTTGTTCCTGGGCTCCATTTCATGACTCCTAGCTTGGCAATGGCTCCGTTTAGAGTCCTGCTGTGGCACAGCTCATGGGAGCTCCCCAAAGCAGGAATTTCTGCATTTTTGCATAAACAATGAACCCATTGCTGAGTGTGTTCTGAATTATGATGACTTGAATGAAATCACTGAGTTTAACAGTTTTTGCCTGCTTGTGAGTCAGTGAACCCTAGGTTAAACCCTAATGGTCAGTGGATCTTCCTGATGCCTCACCTAGAGCCTTGACAAGCCTGGGGGTTTATAATACTTAACCATAGGAATGAGTAAAACATGCTTTATGTCATGGCTCAAGTCTCAACCATGCCTAAATACTCTTGGTAAGTTTGCTGTCTCATTCAAGACAGAAGGATCAGAGAGGAAGGACTAGAAATTCTTCAGCATTCCAGAAGTAATACATTTGGTTTAAAAATAGTCACATTCTGCATGAAAGGGGGAGAGTGGAGAATGAGACCAGTGTTTCCATGAGTTTTTATTTACTAAATTTGTGCCTCTTCAGCATCTGGGATAATATGGCCATACAGCCCCTCTTTTTAACCAGCCAGACTGGTTATAAAAGAAGACCTCATAAATGAAAAGGCTTTGGAGCAGCACGGTTGCACTCGCTGCCGCTGGCTACAGCTCTTGCACCAAACAATACTTGCAACCAGCTTAGTTGTCCTCATGATCCAGTCATGGATGGACTGACATAGGATCTTATGAAAGACACTTGCAGTAGAGACACATCAACACTTACCCCTATATGGGTAAACCCCATAAGCCCCAGATGCTCTTTTCTCAGTATTCTAGAATCCTGGTTTTATGATAAACAGAAAAAAAAATCCCAGATGGTTATTGATTGAGAATATGTGAATATTTGACATGAGGCATGTCTTCATTAAATAGAAGCTTCATGTTGAATAAAGAACAAAATTAAAGGGACATCATTTTAAGGTAATATACAGGTGATGGGCAGCTGATCCATTGTATGATTCCAGAAAGCCCCTTCTTACCCTGCTAAGGCATCAGATACAAAACTATTTACATATTTAGGCACTCAGTAGAAACTCTTAAATTATTTATTCACACAAAATACTTTCAAATGGCAAAATTATTAAGGAGAAGAATTACATTTGCTCAAGAGGTTTTCTGCTTATTCTCTCTAATGCAATTTTGACAGCATATACTCAATATCTTCTACCATGGTATGCTTAAAAACAGTATTTGGTCTCATTCCCTTTAACTATAACTATTAAACTTACAATGCATAAGTGTATGCTTTAGCATAGTACAATACAGAAAAAGAAAACCAGATATTTGTACCTGAGGGCTTTCTCATGTGTAGTGTAACTACGTATATTTTTGTACTACCTGTTTTTTATCACTGTCATGGAGTTAGCTTGTGTCATTTCTCACCTTCACACTCGTTTAGATTTTTTGACAATTTCCGATTTTCAGCTTTTATTTTCTTATTTCAAGTGTCATAAGGTAATGTGCTCACGCTTGTTTTGGATTTTCCTAGTTAGTAGCCCAGAACAGTATTGTCAGTCTCCCTTTCTATTTACCTGCAAAGCAATCTTTTCCCTTCTGTTCCTCCAGAAATTGTTAAACAGTTGCAGGTTAAGACAAAGCAAAGCTTCAGTGCATACAGCAGGTCCTCCACTTATAGCAGCCGTTATCTTTCACAGATATTCTTTCTGAGCCCGCTTTGCTTTACATCATCCCACAGCATTCTAGATGGCAACAACAAACACCCATCTGTTCAAATGCTACTAGGCCGGGTGCCTATGGAAGGGAAATCCCCTTAGATACGAAACTGCATCAAATCAGAGAACAGCCAAGTGAATGGAAAATAACCCCGGGTCTGCTTGATCTTTGTTGCAACCATATCAACATAGGACTGATGCCAGGAGCCCATGCGTCTGCTAGCAAACGCCTGAGATAGCAACGCTTCATTTGGAAAGAGCACCTTGTCCAACATGCACCCTCTTTTCTCATTTCATCCTCCTCTCTATGCTCTGATAATAAGTTGTGCAAACTTGCCCATTTCTAGGGATCAATTTCATAGTGAGAAATGGGAAGGCTCTCATTGACTGCTTTTACAATAAGATGCTCACTGGAGTCCGATGATAACAGTGGAGAGAAATCTAATTTTTTTCATGTCCCAGATAAATATGTACAAATAATCATTCAGAATTTTCTTCTTCTTTTTTTTTAATCTTTTTTTTCTGATACTTTACAATATCTATAATATTTTTTCCCCATTTTTCAACCATTTTTATCCAGGAACATGAAAAAGAAAAGTGCAATGCTTGCAGGAAGGAGTCTCTTAGGTAGTTACATGTGTTTATTTGAGCTTACGATTCTGAGTTGCTTTTTTTTTGACTCTGAGTGCAGACTGCAGCATGGGGAAGCCATAAGTAGTCTCTGTGAACCTTTATCTTCATGCCTTAACCTAAGCTCCCTTTGTACATAAGTGTCCTAATGAGATTGCTATATCTTACAGACGTTTAATCTGGCCTTGATTAATTCTCTTATCCCCACTGGAGGCATCAGCTTCTTCAGTACCCCTTTTCTGTGAAGCAGATAATCACAGAAATTGCCTTTTTGCATATCCATACAGGAGACTTCCCTTCTCAGTTCTGAACTACAGAGAAGACAGTTTCCAAATCCTGCCCCAATTGTGCTATTTGTCAACACTCAGTGAGCAAACATCTGCAAAACCAGTTCACCTCAGCTAACTCGGGTTCTTGACCCTCTCTGAACAGTGCACAAAAAGGCTCAATAACACGAAACGTGTGTAACAAAAACCATGGTGGTTAGTTGTGGTGCATGCACTGCCATGGCCTCAGAAGCACTCCCAACATCCAAACCAGCTTATTTCTGTATCAACACTGCATCACACTTTATGTAGCACGATGGACAATTTTTATTTACTTTTATTAACTGTGCAGAAGTATTGGTTTAAAAATAAATTCTTTTGGTGTTGAAAGTCATTTTCCACTGTGTTGCATGATTTCACTAGGGGGCAGAAGGGTCTATTAATCAACAAATTGAGAGTCTTCTCTATTCAATACCACCTGAGTGAAAAAAAGATGCATATTTCCAAAAAATAATAATAAAAATGTAAAAAATTAAAAAAAGGAAAAGTCATGCACACAGAGGGCAAAAATAAACTTTTAACAGTTTCGCATATCATGATGCTCAAGATGTGTTAACAGTAGCTCCTGGCAGGCTCGTACTCTGTGTCCTTGTGCGTACCAGAGCCTGGCTACAAGACAGATCTTTACTCCTGTTATCCAGATCAAATCTAGCAAGGGTGTGCCTAACCCTGCTCCAAAGCTTTATTTAATATTCAAATACCACAAGATGTGTGTAAGACAAATGAAACACATTGAATTGCCAGGGACTTGTTAAAAAGTAAAGAATAGAAATGGGGAATGAAATGCCTGCTATGACAAAAGACATGTATATGAATCACTGTACTGAGTTGAGGCTCTGGCCACATTTTCATCCATCCTACATCTCTGATATTGGCTTGCCTGAGGAGGAGAAGGTTTGCCATGCATTGCTTGTAGAAATGTTCTCTCTAAATAAATCCTTCCTGCGGCTTTACTGCAGGTGTCAGTCAGGCATGCCTAAATATGTCTGCACGATCTGCCCATACAGCAATAATTTCATAACCTGTGGATGTTGAGGATCAAGACAAAATAATAAGCACACTCCAGGTTGAATGAGGTTAACTAAGTTGCGTTTAGTTTATTAATTTTACCCATATACATAGCTGGTTTTGTAAACACCATGTGAAGAGGAAGGATAAAGTGTAACAAATTGGTAGGGGAAAAAATTCAATATGTAACGTGCCAATGTACCGACTGTGCTTTATATATACTTTACATTGAAAACCAAATAAACCAGAGCTTTCCAGAGGAAGTACACATTTTATTTTGAACTAGCAAATTTAGTTTATTAATAAGTAAAAAAATAAATCTACAATAGCAACAGTGCAAACACATCAGAACTTGCATGGCATACAGTACACAAATGAATAAAAATTATTATACAAAGGGCCCGATGTTTCCTATGGTCCTGGCTGTGACATGTACAACAAACAACAGGGTGAGGAGTGTACTGCAACATAAACATGAAGATGAGCTGCATATTACTGGTTCTGTCTTGTATGGTCTCTCTATTTCAGGAGGTAAAGCTGTCATGCCTTGGATCTGCAATTAAAATCATCAGAAAGGGTCAGAATTTCTTCAGAGGAGATTAGGAGTCTCTGTTTTGCTCTCTAAATATTTGGTTGCTTGCATAAAGATCTATTGTTTGCTTTGTGTTGAGGTTGTGATTCTTACTGTGGAGACCTCAAGCTCAGTAAAAATTCATATATTCATATATTCCATGCCAGGTTATCAGTGCACACATCCATTCTTAGTTGGTGAGCAGCTGTATGCACTGCCTCCTCCAGTAGAGTAAAATTAGGCTTTCATTGGTGATTTTTATGACCTTACTTAGTTTTGTGGAGTTATAAGAGATAAGAAAAGAAGCATACACTGTTACAGTGTGATAGTCATATTGAATGATATTTGAACCCATTCTTTTGTACATACAAGGCTTATACTTGTATGTACAAGGTGGTTAATTGGGCACACATCTATTTCTATATACTTATTACTCCTCCCTAAGAATTCAGTATAATTTTTAAGGGGGTTGACATATTCACCTGCCTGTCCTGGTTTTGATACTAAATGGGAAAAATGTGGGTACAATGTTTGATTATGCTTTTCCTAAATGTTTTCCTTACTTGCATATTTTAATTCTTAAAGTAACACTGCAAGTATGGTATATTGAAAAGAGAAGTTCTGTGAAAGGCAAGAGACTGAGCACAAACATTTCTGAAAGTCTGAATGTCTACTTATAAAGTATGAGCTTGTCTTAGGGGTTTTTTGTGTTGCAAGTATCCTGCACTGCTGAAAAAATAAACTCTCCAAATATTGACTCAATCTAAGCAGATGTAATACAAAACTAAAGCCGACCATGACACCGTCCCTAGAGAAGGAAGGAAGGTATTTTTCAAGTCACTTCCTCTGTTCCAAGCTTTTTCTTTCTTGTAACAACTCAGCGATTGTTTGGCTACTCAGTGTAAGTCTGTTTTTGATTTTGATGAGGATGGCAAATTAAATGTAATATTGCCCATGAGGGAAGGAAAAGGAAAGAGTCCTGATCTTAGCTTTGACGACTATGCCTTAGTCATTTGAAATTAGAAACTAATGATAAAAAGCAAGAACTAAGCACTCTCAGTTACAGTGAGATCACTCTTTGACTATGTTCTCTAAGTTGCGGGCATTATTCTTTCATCCTGTAAGATAAAAGGGAACAGCATTTTCCAGAAACCATACCATATAAAAAGAAAAGTCTATCTGCTCCTGATAAAATTTACATGTGTTTTCCATCTTTTTAACTTGTCCTCTGATAAATAATCAGGGGAAGAGTGGCTAGGCAGTTGCTACTGGCAAGTAGTTGTAAAGGTCAAGAAATTTTACCAAAAATAGTGACTGGTCATACGTATTGTCAATATGCTTTTCATAGAAGGACCGAAACAGGGTAATACAAAGAAAAATCAGAACATCTTTGATTAATTATAACTCATGGTATTTCATTCACATTCTGCAGGTAAAATGTTCTGATCAGTGTTGGAAATATTGGAGAATGCTGTTGCAGGAAAGGGAATTTCTCCAATGCCCTTAAAGCAGTGTGTGTTCAGCAAAGAGGTAGAATGGCCTCTACTGGGGGAAGATCAGGGTGAACGAAGGTCCCTTCTCAGGGAGCACTTCCCCAGAAGTGTTTAATATAAGCTCTGTTAGGCTGGCTAAAAATCATATTAGGATATTGAGAAAACAGTCTTGAATTTGGACTCAGTAAAGAAGTTTAAGGCACTTAAAGTCACAATATATGTTTTTAGTGTCTCTTTCATGTCATACTCTCATGATCTGGTAATTCTTTACCAACAGGTATTGACACTGAAGATGATAGTTTTTCCCTGAGTGTACTGTTAAAATACCGTTAGACATTTAGAAGAAAGAGCAACTTACAGGACAACTATTTTTATCTTCTAATTTATTAATCAAGAGGAATGAGGAAGGGAAAAGCACAGAAGATAAAATCTTCCAAAGGGCACATGGGAGAGAGTTAGTGTAAACATACTTTTGTGATCCACTACTGTAGTCATCTCTGAGACATTAGACTAACAAGAGGTAAGAGACGTAGGGAAGAGTACTTATATAACCTCAGACCGTGTAGAAGCCTGTGTTAAAGAAGTTTGTTTCTTGAGACTCCTTTGGCAGTTAATACCACTTATATAACCTCAGACCGTGTAGAAGTCTGTGTTAAAGAAAGAAGTTTGTTTTTTGAGACTCCTTTGGCAGCTAATACTGCCAGAGTGATTCAGAGAACAAACCTTCTTTAAATCCAACTCATCCATTGAAAGACCCTAACTGACAATGGAGGGAGCCAAGGGAGACTTGTTTTTGAACTTGGACACCTTGTCTGGTTACACATGGATGTTCTCATCAACGTTTCAGATGCAGTGGAAAACTCCATGCTTCCATTACTGCCTTCAAATACTGCTTGAAGTTCGAGCTTTTCTACTCTTTTTTCTACTCTTACTTGGACCTTGAGTCAGGTGGAAACAATAAAACCATTCTCATTATTTGTTATTTCGTTTCTTCAATGGCCATGTAAGCTGTGTGAACACTAGCTACATATTCACACCTGATCAAGCAGCGAAAGTCGTATCAAGCAGTTTCATGTCATTGTCATTAACACTTTAAAAGCTCAGCAATAGACTTACCGACCACTCTGCATTGTCTGTCTTTGAACATCGCACATTGACTGGTAGTTTAAGAACAAGTTCGTTATAGGAGAGACCTTCTGATCTGGACCATTTGAACTTGTTCATTGCGTCCATAAAAGACAGGTTTTTGTATTGCTTAGGACTCTTGATAATAAAGGGCCAAGTCCTAAAGAAAATAAATAAATAAATAGATAAAAAATAAACAGATAAATATAATACCATCCAGTTGAGAGTGATGAGGGAAAACTTTTGGATAACCTACTCAGAAAATGAAATACACTATAAACATATAATTACATGCAACCTACATTCTCACCTGGTGAGAACTGATGTAGTTTCACTGACTTTAATAGACCAATGAAAGTCTGGCCTCAGTGTCTGATCTGCTACCAGACACTTTTAAAAGTGAAGGATATTTAAGAAACAAATTATACTGCTCTTCTCTGATCTACAAACTTAACACACAGGAAATTCAAAACAAACCTTCTTTGGTGACTTAAAAAAAAAAAAAGAGAGAGAGAGAGCGCAAAACAAAAAAGGCACACTGTCTGCTAGACTTGGCAGGCAGCACTACAAATAAATGTTTGCCATTAGGAAGCTTCTTCCAAATCCCTCTGCCTAGCTGTGGTCACGGCTTGGATAATAGGACTAAGCTCAGCATAGCTCCTGGGTTGCTCTAACATGTATCATTTGGCAACTGCCACAAAAGACCAAAGTAAAATAACTGGAATGGAAAGCGTCCTGGACATTTCTGGTTGACATGTCCTGGCACCCTGTCTGCAAAGGAACTTTTGGTAAAGCTTGAGAAAGAAATCTGTTATGCTGTCTCTAGAGATCTGACAACTCTCCCATTTTCCCATTCTCCCACTTTTTATCCCCACCAGGAATGAGTGAGGTCCAAATCCTGTTCCCTCCCTGAAATGTGGAGAGGGAAAGAATGACTTCTCCTGCCAGTCCCAGAAGAGGGAATAGAAGAAAAAAATCATAAAGAAAACTATTCTTGATTGTTTCTAGTTTGATTCTAATAGAAGTAATGGAAAATAGCATGGTGAATATGGCAGGCTTTTAAAAACAGAAAACCAAAACCTGCTAGTGCAAAAATGAATGTGATTGATTGATTAAAACTTTATTTAACTCATCTAAGCAGTACTTTTGATGAAAGCATGAGTGAATCTTTTTGAAATAATTTAGACAGACCAAGTTGAGATCCATGCTATGCTTAGGTATGTGGGATATAATTTTAATCACACATTTATTTTACATTATTGTATCCCAATACTTTTTTATCTCAGCTCCTCATGACTTTTGCCACTGTTTGTGTCAGAGTAAATAAGAGTTTTAAGGTGAACCAATAATGCCTTGATTCTGCTTCCAGTTTGTTTTCATGTGTAAGTCAACAGTGAATTTAGAGAAGTCAGTGAAGTAATTCTAGTGTAAAACTGACACAAGAGAGATGAGTATCAGGTCAAATATCCTAAGGCTAACAGAGCTTAATGAAACAAGAATTGCGGATTAGGTCATAAATACTAGAGGCATTAATAATCTCGTCTTCTAATTACTATTCCATATGCAGCAGACAGTCTGCATACTTACTCTATTCAAAACATCTCTATTTCCTCAGGCCAAATGTCCTTATTTTTTCCTTAAATACAGTTATCATGAATGAACACTCAAGAGAGCACGAATTTGTTAGAGTATTTTCTTTCTAAGCTCAGAAAGACTCTGGTAGGACCTGTTTAGAAATTATGTTCTTTTAGTATTAAAAGAAGTTGTAAATAGAAATGGCAAGAAAACTGAAGCAGGCATTGCACTGTGACTTTCTTCAAACTTTTCTGTTGCAGATACTGACTTAGGGCCAGTAAACTTATACAACAAATGATTTTGCAATAATAAATTTAAGAGGTTTTGTTAAGAGTTACTGCATAAGGAAAACTGATTTTAAAATATGATTACAGGCTATTAGTCTATCACTTGTATTTTAAAATCCTACTAGTGCCTTCATTTATGACAACTAACTTTATGAAAGTATTTTGCATTTCAGCATTAGTGAAGTACTATCACCAAAAACTAAGGGTCATTTGAAAAATCTATATAATCTCATAGACCAAAACAAATGACAGAAATATATATACATATTCATAAATATTTTACTTGCCTGACTGGTCTATATATTTCCTTTACCCCAATAAACTGGAGTTGTTCCATTATGTCTGGAATACTTGCACATCGCGTGAGGTTGATTCTTGGGTAATAGAGTAGATATGACAGGCACATTTCATTCCTGGTGCTCAGACCACCCTGAAAACGAAATTTTTCTTTTATTTAAGATAGTGTTGGAATTTCACAGATAAAAGCACTGATTAGCATTTATATGATAAGGAAGCTTGCAATGGGAGGTCCAATTTGACATATATCCTTTGCTCCTTAGATTATCAAGTAAAAAATTATTACATAATTAGTCACAAAATACCTTTCAAGCTCAAATGGCATCTCCTGAGCTTAAAAGATATCAGAAAGAATGTCTATCAATATTGAGTTGGTAGTATAGTTACAGTAAGCTTTATATCATGCTGAAAAGTATGATCTGAGAAGAACAGATCTATTGCAGGCTGTCTCCAACATACTGATATCGATCATGCCTCAAAAGGATGGATTCAAACTGGAACAGCTATAGATAACAAGTAGAATGAGCTTTTTTATGAGAAGAGATTAAATGAATTTTGCCTAGTAGGTTGGGATGGAATATATATCTATAGGTAATCCCATTGTAAATACATAAACAAAAAAGAAAAAGAGTTATTATCAATAGAAAATGTTGACTCAAGAACAAATAAGCACTAACTATAAATGAGTACCTTAAAATAAGAGTTTTGACTCTAAAAAAACAGAAGTGAAATATTTTTCCATTGAGAGTTGTGGAAAAAACAACTAATTTAAAATTAATCTTGATAAGTATGGACAAGGTTGTGACATGTGTGTTCCTAAATCCTGTGTGGAAGTGGTGTCATGGATATCACAAGTCTGCTTTTGTAAAATCTTTCATGTACTGGTTTGCTTATTTTTATAAGCTAGTCATATGAATGCCTTATACCACCAGACCAGACAACGTTCATAATAACCCTTATGCCTTTAAAATCCAAGTACTTGTGAATGAAAGATAACAATACATAGCAAACTGAAAGAGTCTAAAGCGTACACAGGAATTAGTAGGTGGGTTCATACTTTTAATAGCATCCTATGGGGGAAAAAAAAAAAGAAGAATTTGGTCCCTAATATTGTTTTTGCACTTATGTTGATCCATGAACATTTTTTCTTACCCATGTCATACGAATTCGGTCCACAGTACTGTAGTGACATTCTGTGATTAAATTATCCCCCTGAAACAGAAGATTTAAGGTATTCACTGTTATTAAGTTTATCAGCACTAGCTTGAGGTGACCGAAAACGATGCAAAAACTTAAGCAATAAAGGTTATAATAGTCGATATTAGTTTTTGAAAGAGCAAAGAAGTAGGTAATTGGTCTAGACTAAAACTGGGCACTTAGCATTCATATTGTCCCAGATCTTCGGGGATCTGTGCCTGATTATACTGAGTCTTGTCCAGTATTTGATACATTTTTTTTTTCAAATAGCACTGAAAATGTCAAGTTATGATCCTACTTTCAGGGAAATTATATATGCAGACAATGTGCACACGATTTGTGCACCAAAACTCTTCCAGCACTGCTTTGGGTATCTTGCCCCAGGCTCATTCATCCTGCCAAAGTCAATAAAATTGTTGCCAAATCAGAAAAACAAGGTTTTCCACATCACAGTAACAACGATTTAACTACCAAGCCTCGAAGTAGAGGAGTGGCAGGCAAAGACTCATCTACATTGACAGATACGTATGAGAAAGGCTGAGCAATTACCTTCTCAAGTACCTGCAGTTAACTTTCTGATATTTTGACAGACTGATCTACAGTGTTTCTAAATAAAAAAGGTAGTACATTTATCCCCTGTACCTAATTAAATGCATATCTCAAAATCACCAATATTATCAAATGGAAACAAAAATATTGAGGAATTACACTAGAATGTGTAGAGAAGTGTGCTGTAGAGAAGTATTTTTGCATAAGGTGAAAGCAATAAATGGCATTGAGCAAGGCTCACTTCAGAGACAGAATTCTAGCTTCTGTTCTGGATATCCTTTTAACTTTGCGGATATCATCAAATATCTCATTTCTCTTTTTTTTGCTGTCTACTGCCTTTTGTCCTGGAATTTTAAAAGGCCTTTCTCTATAATTTACTTGCATTTTCCTAAAAAGGTTACAGGCTTTCTCTGCAAGGGCGTCTAAACTTGTCATCTTCAGCTAACCTCCCTGCTAAACCCTGAAACGCTTCTTTCCTGGAGGAGGTAATATGAGTTTGTCTTTGAAGTCCCAGTAGAGTACAAGCAGTAGATCTTCAAAGAGTAAATGCTGCACCTGAACTTCTAGGTTAAATTAAATAAGAAAGTTGCTATTTGAGCTTCTTGCCTTTAAAGGACAAATAACAAATTTGTCCTGGTAGGGGAAAGATGATATAAGGAAGGAAGAAAACCTGGCTGTTTCAAAGGATGATGTTCCTGACCATACCAGTCATTTCATCGGCCTTTTCAACTTCCTAGCTTCAGTTATGAACAAAATGTAGTTGTTTAGTTTTTTTGCATGCATTCCATGAAGTTAACGGGCTTGTTCACGTGCACCAGACAAGTGCAGCTGCTCTGCTGGCCAGATCTGGGGCACCCAAACCTTTGCAGCACTTAACTTTCTGTCCTCTGGCCAAAGCTTCAGAAATGCATTGCCAGATAACGAGATGAGTGAATAATTTTTTAATGAGCAACTCATTCAAAGCATGTAGACTCTTTTCATGAAAAATCTATGGATAGTTAATGATTTAAAGTTTTATAATATGTTTGCATTTTCTTTTAAGTATATTACATTATTATTACAAGAAGAGCAATAGGGTTGCATGATTTCTTATTGCAGAGTGCTTTTTTTTGTTTACTCAGCAAAACCTCATGTGGAACACTAGCAGTGAGTTTTTCTCCCAGCAGGAAATAAAAACATGAAATAAAAGCAGACCTACTTGGCTGATCTGTAGAGGCATGTTTGCAAAGCTGAATGCTTGCTGCGTGCAAGTACTTGGGATGGGCTGCTTAGTTCCACTGGCTCAGTAAAGTCACACTGTCTCGTTTCTATTCTTAGCTGGCTGGATGGATGGATGCACAAAGATGGCACAACCATAGGTGAATGAATTTATAATCTCCTTTGCACAAACATATATGATAGTAAAACTCTGATCTGCTGATTGTGAACATCAAACACACGCCAAACTTAGCTTAAGTGGAGGGTCCAAATCAATTTTTTTGGTGAATGAGCAGAGACTTTCTTGGGCAGTGCATTTGTGACCTTGTATAAGTGGAAATATGAACAAAGCATCAAAGAAAATCAAATAAATTAAAGAAATCAAGGAAATTCTGCTGCAAAATTAATCCTTAATGTGAGTAAATGTTAAGCACATGTTCTTTTAAAGCACATTCAGGAGAACAGTGACGGGTGTCCTACAGGCAATATGGTCCTTTCTTCTTTCAGATACTGAAACTCCTGGAAGTTGAAGTCAAACTCATCATCATAAGCAAGTAGCTTCTGTTCCTCGCCGTTGCGGAAGTGGCGCATCCTGATGGCTCTGCCGGCAAGATGAGCATGAAGAAGTACTGCAAATACGTGGATTCCACCAGGCCTCTCAGCACCTAGAGCCTGGCCAGGAAACCAACATTAGTGTGCCCAGATGTCATGTACAAACAGAGCTAAGATATATTAATAAATGCATTTCATGTTCCCTTAGTCTCCAGTAAAATAAGTGGCATACAGGCAGGAGCAAAAACAAATCAGTCCGTGAAATTAAATGTATATATAAAAAGGGTGGCTTGGAGGGGAATTTCTTCTGTTTTTAGCAAAGATGCGTTTTAACTTAAGGCACACAGTTTTTATCAAAATCAACTGGACTGCCAATAACGCTCAATCATGACCTTCGAGGATATTATATTAAAATTGACACATTATTTCAGTCCTTGGACTGATACATCTGAATGTGGATGTTTAAGGTGAAAAAGATTTTCAGTGCAGCTGAGAATATTATCTTCAATATCGTGCCAAAAGAAGCACTCAAAAATAAGACGCTGTAATTACTATATGCTCTATTCCCATCTTCAAGTAAGCTGGTAGTGAAATATTGAAGATTTATATTTGAAATTTTCTTGCCAAGTCAAAACCATTTTAAAATGAACTTTCCTAGAATAGCACAATACCGACATCACTCCCACTGCAACAGAGACAAACAGATCCAAACTTTGGCTATAGTAAACTCTGACTATTGACCAGAGTCAAAACAGGAAAGAACCTGTAACTAGAATACATTTCAAGTAAAGCTTTTATGTTGGAAACCTCAGTGACAACACTCCACATTCAACATCACTAAGAACAAGCTTAAACTCCATATCGAATATGCTCTTCACACCAAGCTATATCATAAAATACAAATATTGAAAATATCGATTCAGCCTTTCTCTACAAATGACAAAATATCTGAAAATCAGAGTTTATACAGTACTTCCATAATGTACACATTAAAATCATTCATAGAGAAATTTAAGTTATTTTAACAAAACCCAAGTATGTAATGAGTTCAAGGTTTTGTGCTTTGGTCCATACAAGCAAAACCTATTCAGGTTTTCAGTTTCTGTAGTCGATCTAAGAGCACTTCTCAGGCTTTCATTTCAAGACAAGGAGCCTTTTACACATAGAACTCAGTTCATCTCTCTCTATTTTTCTGCTAGGCTAACTATTCCATTATAGGAATAGGCCATTAACATCTTTGCCAGGGAAAGTAAAGAGGATTAAATCGGTGTATGCATTGCATCATCAGTATTACTTACGTCAACAAAGCAACATGAATACTGAACATCAGCCTAATGATTTAATAGAACTCTCTGAAATCTGAGATAATCATAATTTAACAAGCTCCTTTTTTGTAAAGTACTAAGGTACTGATACCCAAAAATGTTGAGAGTTCTGGTTTGTGCCATGAAGCAAATGCCATTGCTCACATGTCTTCAATGAACATCTTTCAATCTTACCAGAAAGTTAAATAGGCTGCCCTAAATTATGTCTGCGAATATAACCCAGCACTGTCAGACAGGAGACATACCTCTTCCAGACATTCCAGCGTGCAGTGACCCTCTGACACAAATTCAGGCATGCCTGGTGGGATGTTGTGGAAGAGGCTAACCCAAAGACCAGCTTCAATAACCCCAGCATCGTATTTCCTTAAAACTGGAGTATAAATTAGCCTCAGTCCAGAGTTATCTATCAAGCCTGCAACAAAAGGACACAGTCAATTGTGGGTATAAATCTGCACCAAAAAAAAAAAAAAAATCCAATCATATACGTTTTTCAAAGTTTGTCCTCTTTTTTTAAAATATTTTTAAATGCATATTCAGGAATTAGCCTCAATAACCCACAAAAGAGTCAAAGCATTCATGAGGATGCAAAAAGTATCTTGTGGGCAGCCCACAGGAAGGTTGTTAAGCATAATATGTTGGTATCTGCATTGATCAGGTGTGAATGAAAAATGTGTCATTTCTGTTAAGTGTTCAAACACAAAGCTCGGAGAAAAAAAGGTAGAGCATTGAGAGAATGAAGGGTAAAAGAAATTAATTCTCAATAGGTGCTATATATGATTTTTAAAATTAAACATTTAAAGAAATGTCTTAAAGTTTTTTTTTTTTTTGAAATGTACAAGGAAGAAGACAAGAAAACTACAGAGAATTTTTGAAGACTCACAAACCCATCTTGATTTCAAAAAATAAAGGAATCAAAGTTTGCCTTAAAAAGGTTGACTTTGAGTGATATTGGTGAGACTTTTATTTGTCTAAATGTTTAACCATATTAATTTGCTTTTATATCTATTCAGAATTTATAGTCCCTCCATCAGTCAATGGTTTATAATGATCTCTCTTGTATTTGACAGTTTTACCTGGCAAGATATACACACCATAAAAGATTGAATTGTGGAACAAATGTTAATTTCTGTGTTAGCTCATCTATTATTTTTCTTTGTTTTGCCCTTCTAAATGTTAGCTTTAAAAATTAAAAATGCAAATAAACTTCCTAGTACCTGAGAGAAAGCAAGAGGCTTCCCAGTGACCTGTATTTGTCTTCTAAGAGACAAAACAGACATAGTAGTGCCTGAACCCAAACAGTTTATCAATATGAAATTAGCAGGCTATTTTGAGAGGGGCAAATGCTAGAGGTATAGAGTAGAGTCTAAGGTGTCCAGTAACCCTAATAGCTAACAGAGAGCAGTATATAATTACTAAAGAACAAAGGATATGAGTTATGGACAGCCAATTGAGCATGGTAATCAAGAAACCAGTAATAAGGCTTTCCACAGGATACAAATGATAATCACTGCTGCTGTCCCCCAACACCTCAATTTTAATGCACTTGGGAAATTGGACCAACTCCCTTTCCAATGCTCCTAGTACAACCTCATCAAGCTGAATTTTCCCCTTGCCATGTGCTATTCAACATTCAGCCTGCCTGTTACCAAGACTGAAGTGCCAGACATGTTTATGTGATCTAAGGAAATTTAAGTGTTTCTGATAAACAATTTCAAAAGTGACTGTCTTTCAAATTAAAAGCAAATGTTAACAATTTCAAAACCAGAAACATTCAAAAACATGCAAGTTAGAAGCAGTTGAAGTATTTATGAGTCTAACTGAGAGCCAACAGTTCCACTGCCTCTGAGTCACTTGGAAAAACATTAGGCAACAGCAATAAGTGACCCTGCTGGTAAACAGTGTGCTCTTTAACCGCGAGAGGCAAATCCGGGAAAAACAGATCTGGAACCAGGGAAAAAGACATGCTTTTGTAGCAGTTTGACCATAGTGCCTGCAGGACTGGCAGGATGGAGATGGGGGAGCCAGCCCTGCAGAGCAGCCTCATCGCTCCAGCAACCCTCCAGCTCCTCACACTCTTCATCATTTGCTATCTTAGCAAGCAGAGAACCACAACTTTATTCCTGACACCCATTCTTGCCTCCACAGTCTGAATTTCCCTGCTCTTCTGTGGACTCTGTATCCACATATGAGCATCCCAATAAGGCCAAACTGTTCCCACTCCTTACAAAGGGGTAAGAAATGTGATTAATCCCTCGACTTTCTAGGGTATGTTGCATCAGTGATACAAATGACGTTTACTGCATCCCCTGAAAATGTACATTCTGAATGGACAACATTTGTCATTGCTTGTCAGTTTGTCAAAGATATTTTAAGATATTTCATCTGAGTTATTACAAAAAGGAGAAGTTGCACTAAGGCAGAATGCGTTAACTAACCCAGAGAGCTTTATTTAAATGCATGGGGATATAAAGACCAGTGCAGTATGCTGCTTTTACCCAACTCAAGTGCACCAGGCATCAGAAAATATTCAGGCAGCAGCTCAATATAGCTTTGTTTAAGAACAAAAAAAAAAAAAAAAAAAAGTATTATTTATCTTTTCAAAAGTCAGCTTTAAACTATTCTAGCATTTCTGGGGCACTCTGGCTTCACAGCAAAATTTTCCTTTGCTTCTTTTAAATATAAGTAAATTTTAGAATGAAGATTTAAAAATAAAAAAACTACAAAAAGAAAGTTTATCTTTTAAGATAAACTGCTTTTGCTGAGGGAATGGTCTAGCAACCTGAGACTTTCCTTTGCTTTAAGAAACTGCCCTCAGCTGAGGTCTTAAAAATACTAGAAAAAAAGTAAATAAAAAGCCCTAACTGTCACTTTTTTTTTCTTTTCTTTTCTTTTTTTTTTTTTTAGTGCTTCAAGGCCATTAAGGGCTGCATAATTCTATTCTGCTACGTGTCAGTTTGATTGGATATCTCAGTGAAAGGAACAGGATATAGAAAGAGCATAAGGAAAGTAGTGATAAAGAGATGTATTCACTTGGTCTGTTCTTTGGATATCTGAATCTCTCCCTGGTAATAATCAGAAACTATTGACTTGGAAAAATGAACCTCAGATTTGCTTTTGCTCTGTTTGCAGTGGGATGCAACAGGAAGTGCTTGTGTCCAGTACATTTCCCAATCTTGCGTGTTTTAAAGAGTGTGAAGGTACAAACCTTCTATGTATGATGGGTTGTCATAATGCACTTCCATAAGTACGAACAGAGGATCACCTGCTGTACCAATGGATAAACCGACATGAGGGGGGTAGGTGAAGCCCTGGAATTCAAAACATATTGTCAGAAGATTTGTTTTACAATGATTATTGTTTTTTTTAATCTATCTATCTATCTGTCTATCCATCCATCCATCTGTCCACCCATCTATTTATCTAAACGTATAATTGTAACATTGTATATATATAGGGAGAGAGAGAAAATATTGAATACATTAAATTGTTTTGCCAATATAAATATTAGATTCTCTGCTTTCTAGAGGATAAAGCCCAGAGCAACCTGGTCTGACCTCATGGCTGACCCTGCTTTGAGCAGGAGGTTGGACTAGAAACTTCCTGAAGTCCCTTCCACCCTGAATTATCTTATTATCTTACGATTATTTACCTTGCATTTGTTGCCTCAGCTGAAAAGGAAAAGTCCATTTTAAAAGTATAAACATTGCATCATAAAGCAGTTAGTTTGACAATAAAACCCTTATGAAAAAAAAGAGAATCTTCATTTAAAATGCTCCTATTTTTAAAAAGTGGTAATTTACAGGGGATGCTGAGGTTGCACGCAATGAGATTGCTTTCATTGTCCAGATAATTTAATTCTATGGAAAATTATTTGAAGGGTAAAAATGAGCTTTATGCCTACGTCTGCATTAGCAAGTAGTGTGGTGCAAAAGGAATAGATCTGTCCAGTGCAATAGTTTGTGCTGGACCTGCTGCCCCCACAGGGGGCAGGGTCACATTCAGGGTCATTTCCTTTGGACAAGCTCTGGTCTGACCCTATACACTTAATGCCATTAGTGGCTGAGGGTGATGGGTTCAACCCCAGGATGTGCCAGGTGGCTTCCTCCCAAGGGAACTGTGCACAGACTCAAATTATTCATCATGCAAAACGGACCTTTGTATGTGGGGAAAACCTAGAAGGTTACTTCAAAAGCACTCTCCTGATCCAAAGTGCAATGCTTCCAACTACTGAGCGAAGTCATCAAATCAGGAATCATATCTGCACCATTTTAGAGAACACAGATAATAATATTTTAATGTGCAGTTTGAGATCCTTTCTAATTTTAATGTGCTTTGATGATCTGATTGATATATAATAATAAATATTATCATCATCTCTGTATTACATATCACAGAATCATGAAATCACAGAACTGCTGAGGTTGGAAGGGGCCTCTAGAGATCATCTAGTCCAACCCCCCTGCTCCAGCAGTGACACCTAGAGCACATGGCATAGGGCGGCATCCAGGTGGGTTTGGAAGATCCCCAGAGAAGGAGACTCCACAACCTCTCTGGGCAGCCTGTTCCAGGGCTCTGCCACCCTCACATTAAAGAAGTTCTTCCTCATATGGAGATGGAACATATGGGTAAACTGAAGCACTATGAATTTCACAGCAAACTTGAGTATAACCCAGATCTGCCAGATTCTTCTCTATAGAGTTTTAGCAATGCAGCCATGCTTGCAAAAGCCTTCATAATCCTTGTTAAATGATAATTTATTTATATGAGTTTTTTATTTCACTTGGTTGAAGACAGTTGGAGGTACAAATACTAGGTCAGAGCATAGCTGATGGCAAAAAATGCCCAAAGTATACAACAGGGACAACGCTCAAAGTGGATCAAAGCTGCTTTTGATGGGTCTGTGTTGCAGCCCTGTGCACAGCAGCCCTGGGATCCCCACCAACAGTCCTCTGGGACAGTCCTTGGGCCGCACAATGCAAAAGAAAGGCCTTAGATACTGCCATCTGCCTGGTACCTGCACCTCTGTGTGGGCACGCCACAAATCAGGGGGGTACTGAAGGGGTGGGGTGTTTCTTTTTGTAGTAGTGCTGAAAGCACTGACTGGAGCCTAAGTATGAAAGATGAAAGAAGCTTGGGATCAATATGGCATCACAGACTCTTTTCTGTAGATGTAGCCAAATGCCATGAACCAAGAGGTCCTTGTGGGGACTCTACACCAACATAAGATTGGTGGTGATGCATGAAATTAATTGAACCAATACCTAACTTCATTTGGAAAGTGTCTTTTTGCATCCTTGTCTTTTGTACAGTTGCCTATAGATGGTGCTTTCACTTCTCTCGTTGTCTACAAGCAACAGATGTTGGCCATTGGTGGTGGCAGTGTATTGGACCAGGTGGAACAATCTGATATGGGAACAGATTTTCATACTCCTGAGTTGCCTTTTTTTGCTGTAGGGCAACAGCTACCTCTATATTATTATCATTTCATTTAGTTTTTCACTCAGGATGTTCAAACATTTCATACTTAAAGGTCAACAAGAACTTGGTGGTGAGACATTTGTGAACTGTGATTATATATACCTTTAAAAAGAGACAGATTAAGTAATCATTAAGATACTAGGAAGAAGCTTTATTACAGTACACACTCCCTTCAAGCCCTGTTGATAAATCATTTAGAAAGCTATTCATCCTACCTCTCCTCCAATGGCCCAAGCAAAAATTACTGTCTCGCACGTGAGAAAAGAATCTGGCATGTTGGGATGGTAACATTCATGCCCGTAGTCCAGCACACTGTCGTTCAAATTGCTGCTGCACTGATAGAGTAGGATATGGTGCACCAGATTCTCATGGCCTTTCTGTATTAATGGCTCAACCTATTGACATTGAAATAAAAAAGATGGAAAATACACCTCAGATTTGACAATGTAAATGCAAATAGAACAGAACTGCAAGTTATGTGGTGCATTTATTTTAAAAGAGGAGGTCTGGCATTAGACTGCAAATAGGTTCAGATGGTCTTTGGCTCTCTGCAACTCCAGACATTAAAACAAAAACCTCTTAGCTCTACTGTGTCAATGGGGAATAGAAAAAGTTCTGCATCCCAACCAAACCTGTGCTGCCATTTGTCTTGTTTTCCCTTCTCCCATTCCAGTCTTGCACTCTCTCTTGTCTTTTTCCCTCCCTGATCCCATAGCTACATTTAAACCTGAAACAGACATAAACCAGTCAAATGTCTTTTTAGATGCACCAGATAGATTGGTATTTAAACTACTCAGAACCTTTTGTTCCCATTTTTTACCTCTTCTGTGTGATCTTGAACTAAGGGTGCCCATAAATTCTGTATACCTAGGGTGAGGTCTGGAAGTATACTCCGTATTCCTTAGCAGCTTAATATATACTTTCTGTTTCTTTTGACATCTATAAAAATCAGAAATAGTTTCCAATCTGTTAAATTGCATAAAGTTTACTAACAAGAACTCATTCCTTAGAGGCTGCGTGCTCCTGTCTTTCTGCGGCAGTGACAAGCTAGAGGGCTCTTAGGAGTGCCCCAGTGCCCCCAGTAAAATTTGACCACTGAACTTAAGGGTAGGCAGAACTGATTTCATTCCCATCTAACATTTTATTCGCTCTGTCTTTGGATGGATGATGTTAAGTCATGTCTGCCAGAGATGTCATGCCTAGGGCAAACATGAATACTTCTGAAGCAACATTATTTTGCTTTTCAAAAAGATCATATTCAAAAAACTCAGCAGTGGAAAACAATATTCAAGTAAAAGGAGGTTTTGCCTTGCTTTTACTTTCAAAGATTTCATTTCATCCTCTACTAAATCTACCTTCAGTCAAGTAAGAAACATTCTCTGCAAATGTTTTCACAAGAAAAATAAACAGTTTTGGCAATGCAGTACTTAATATGTGGATATGCTGTGCAGCATTGCCTTTTAATATTATTAGGAAAAAGAAGCTACTTTAAACAAGGAAAAAAATGAATATACACCTTATATTTGCATCCATTGGTTTTGCAAGCACAAGAACCCCACGTACTGAAGACACAAGAAGGATAAGCAAGAAATTTGGGGTTTTTTTAAATTACCCTATTAAAATATCTTCAGCACAATATTGTCACCAGAAGTGTATTCCTCTTGCTTTGTAGAAAATAGATCAGAGGAGGAAGAAGCAATCAGAACTTTTGCATATTAAGACCACCCTTGTTGACATAAATCAACAAAATTTCATTGAAGTCAGGCTCTAGGGGAGTCCAGTTGCTTGCTGAGTACCTGCATGTCTGTCCAAGAATAGTCAGTAATAGTACCTGCATGTCTGTCCAAGAATAGTAAAGCTGAAAACCACCCAGTTCACTGCTCAGAAGTCAGTGGAATGATGCCAATTTAAATGAATGTTCTAAAGTTTTATTTTGACGGCAAGGCTGAAATACTTCTTTGCATAGAGATCTCTTGTATTAAGTAATCTCTATTTTGGTTAGCATCACAAATTATAGTGCTAAGAAACTAAAGTATTTTTTAAAGGAACTAAGATAATGCAGTCAGTTGTCCCATCAGATAAGAATTCATTCCCAAATAGATCACAGTAAGAGACAAAGATTCAAAAGTTCACTTCAGTTTGATATTGCTCCTTACCTCTTCTCCTTCATATAACTGCATATTTATCTAAATCACACCCATATCACACTATCTTATACATTAAATATGAGTCTATGTCTCACTGTCTCACATAATATATGGACTAGTCACTGGAGCCACAATGGGGACATAATCTCTGTATCTACCAAGAAATAACAGTGTATTGTTCAAAAATGTGATAGTTCTGCCTGTTGATACAAGATCCCAGCACTTGCTGTGCTTACAATCACTACTTCAAAAACAACTTCCCTTCAAAACAATGGGACATCACCAAAATTAGAAGCTCTCATCCTGCCATCAGCTCCTCAGTGGCAGTTACCTAAACAGTAACAGTACTTCACAAAGTATTTTTGTTCAGCTTTCTTTAGCTAAGAAAAGAAGAAGAAGAAGAAGAAGAAAAAAGTAGAACAAACCCCCAAGCATCTTTCCAAAGCATCCTGTAGATCATTTTATATTCTTCAGAACATTCATAAATAATAAAAAGCAGCAGTTTGACCTTTTACACATTTTTATTACAGTTTGATTAAGGAATGACACCTTTCTCACCTTTTAAACAAACAGAGGGAAAAAATGACCAGGATGGGTAAAAAAAAAAAAAAACACTTTTTAATAAAAATAACAAGAACATTTCATTAATCACAAGCTGTTTATTTCCTAGGAGAGTATGGGAATATTTTCATGATCAGATCTCACAAGTTTCCAGCCTCATTTCTGACTGAAACAAGAGAAGGAAGAAGAGTAGCCTCCACTGCACTCTTTAGGTTCTCTTTTTCCGATCTAATTAATAGCTAAATATGTGTACTAACTGGAATAACTTCAGCTGAAAAGAAGAAAATAACAGTTCATTTCTATTCTCTGTCCTAATGATTAGATGAAGAAGGGATTTAAACCTACCATTCCTACATCCCAGGTGAGTGTTGTTCTAATTACTTGGACATTTGTTATTTCAGCTTACAGAATAAGCCAGTTGCTTACGCTGTTTTCCTCTTCCTCTCCCACTTTCCATGGAGAATATCTGTTCAGCTTACTTTGCTCCAAGTTGAAAATAAATTCCAGATTTTTTTTTCCCCAGTAAACAGAATTTTTGTTCTCTGGTCAGTTTTATAAGCAACAATGAACAATGACAGAGTGCCTCAAATATAAGGCCAAATCCAGCAAGTCAGCAAAGAACTTAAAACATGCAGATAAGTAGTCCCAGCTGTAAAATGAGTTGCTAAAACAGGTATCTACAATAAAATATGATGACTGTGGCCTGGTTTCCAGAACACTCGCAGCCACAGTGAACCGTAACTCCATTTATAGGGCTTATTTCCTACTAGTTAATTCCTATTTTAAAACTAAATATCAACCTTGATCCCTGAATATAAGTGTTCAATCTTACAGCATGAACTGTTGAATGTATAAGTTCAAAGTTTCAATTAATTGAAAAGATTTTAAAATAAAATTTGGGGGGTTTTGATAGCCTTTAATTCCCAAACCATGAAATTGAAAACAAAGTTAACCTAAGGTCTACTCTTACAGGTCTCCAGTCATAATAGTAGTGAACCGATGCTGAAAAGTTACCATGATTTTCTTGCTAATTTGTCTTGGGAAATAACCCAACTTTCAGATAGTTATAAAAAGATAATAACTGAATGCAGTAAATTATAGCAAAATATTGAAATACAGACAAAAATGTGATAGAAATAGGCATATTACATAAAAATCAACATATTCTGCAGATTTCAGTGTTTAGTTCATTTTTCATTAAATTTTCAATTATATTTAGGCTTGTTTATATTGTTCTTGTAGTTTAAAGGGACTCTCAGAGCCACTGGCACTCGAGGATTTTAGAAAGTGCCAATGAAGTTGATCTTTCACTTCCAGCAATTATGAGGAAACTTTAGCATGTAATTCCTTCCTCCTTCCTTGCTAATTCCTACCCAACTCTTGTTGGCCATGGGAGTCAAGAAAAATTCAATAATCAGACCCTGTTACTTAATTGAAAGAGGATTGTGAAAGGAAACTTATACCTAATGTCTTACTGACGTACTCGTTTCTCCATTTTACCCCATTCTGATCGGCAGTGTGGCTGAGATGCAAGGCAGACTCGGCTGTCAGGGTTCATCTGCTCGCCGTGTTGGGAACAAGCCTGCAGAGACAGTGCCCTGGCAGGGCGAATCCCCCAGTTTGGCCCCTGCAGGCAAAGTGCATTTTCTGCTTGACATTTCCCAACTGCCAGAGGCTCAGAGAACAAAAGCCCTATATCCACCCTACATCAAAATGCCAAAAGCCTTTGGGACTGCAAAAAAATATGCAGACACACAAGACGCCATCTCTGCTGCTTTTTACCAAACCTGCAAAAAGAAGCTGTTGTTTTATTATTCATGATGATTTACTTTCTACATCCTGTCTACGTTTCCTGAAAGCGTGGTCTAAAGATATTTTCTAACCAAGCATGCCAACGTGTATGAACAAATCTGGCTCCCAGTGACACACAAGCAAAAATTAATACACTATAATACCCCATCCCATCAGACTGTAGTTTCTTGAGAAGGGAGTATCTAGAATACACCTGGTTCAAATGCAAAACCAAGACTATGCCTTTTGTAACGAAAAGTTGAGGTTATGGTGTTTCATTACCATGACCTGTACCAACTGTGTCGTTTCTGAGGTTTAGTGCTGAGAGATACAGCACTTCTCAGAATGTTTACTTTCAGAGAACATAAAATAACATTTTTTCAACTTATTGTCACGTAAAAATATGTAGTATATATTTCTTCCTGTTCGCAGAAACTCTGTTAAAGTCAACGTACCCTAACATACAAAATGCTTACATTCTCTAGTGCATGGTTGTTTAGCTTTAGTTTTTCCTCACTGTCCTCTCTATTTCATATTATTCCTTCTCCTGTTGCACAAACTGAAAATACCACCTTTTTTTTAAAAAAAAAAAAAGAAATAAGCCAATATTGTCACATAACAGAAGCTTGTATCTCAACCTGCCGATAAGGACAGTAAAGATACTAATGTAAGGCATAACAACGCAAACTGTTCAAATGATCCAAGCAGTCAGATTCCCTAGCAGGAAGAAATAGCTGCAGAAAGCTGAAAGTCTTTTTTGCTTATTCCTACTTTCTCTTCCTTTTTATTTGCTTTGCTTTCTTTGATGTCACAGCTGCGGTTTGGTCTTCAGGCCTGTTTGTGCATATGATGAAAATGAGTAAACTATATCCATATTCTCCTTGTAGTGTCCCTGT